TTTTTTGTGTCTGCTTCGCACTTTTACTATAGATAAATTTCTGATATTATTCTTTTGAAGGCTTTTTATTGTATTATCTATAGATAACACTACAAGAAAATAAGAAATAAAAAACAAACGATATACAAATACGAAAACCAAAAAACTGTTGTTGGAAAAAATGCATTTAAGAAAAAAATAAAAAGAAAATATAACCGAAAAATCAATTTTTTCAAATCTTATAAAACAAACCCAAAATTATCTTCAATTGTTAACGAACAAACTTTCAACATTCATATAAATATATATAAATATACACAAAATAAGAAATCAATGAACTAATTACGAGTATATGCACTTTCATTATTTAACAATTCATATAGATATTCAAATGTGCGTGGAAAAAGAATAAGAAACCAAAGCAAAACAAAACAAAACAAAACAAAACAAAACAAAAATCAAAAGAAATGAAAAAACCCAATTTGGATTTAAAATTATTCATTAAAGTGAACGGAAAAAAATACAACTGAAAGCAAAACAGAAAAAAAGAACTATGAAAAATAACAAAATTTAAATAAATGCCTTTATTCATTTACTTAAACTGGGAGGGTGCAGAGGCCTAAGTCAAAGACCGCATATGAATGGCATTAGAAAGGGTATGAGTACGAAGAGCTGATAAGCAATGCTATTTATCTACAGACCCTGCATTAATTGCCATGACTGTCAATTAGTTTATTTGCATTTGACTTTGACACTCGATTTGACGTTAACAATTTGTCAAGCTTATGTTTGGCTAAAGGCAATGCAAAATCACCTGCTCTTATGCAATTAGCACAGTATTCAATATTTGTTTTAACTACTCTTTTTTCAGCTAAAAAAAAAAAAAGAGTCAAATTTACTTATAGTTTTACAAATCACGTAAACGCACGCTTGTCACAAACGGCGCACTGTGTAAACATTCAGTTGATACAACTGACCCGCGCAACAGCGCAAGCGCGCTCTCTCGCTCCCTCGCATCCGCTCTCACGTGCTGGCACGGCGCAACAACAGCGCTCATACAATTAGAAGCGCTTAAGCTATGCCTTGTTAAATGGGGCGTTGCACTATCGGCAGCACTGCATTTGTAAGACTTGAACAATAAGCGATTCTTTTTGTTCAATATTTGTATAACATTCGTCTATATACATACATACATACATATACATAATAGATGACATGCATTTCCCCTTATCTGCTCCCATACATAGAAATGCCGCTTTATCTTCAATGTGTGTGTAAGTTGAGAGCAATTGGGCATATGTGTGTCGTCAGTGAGTCTTTCTAAACGTAAAATCGTAACAAATGATCGCACATGAGACAAATATGTGAAATATCGTAAGTATGGCCAATATCGTAAGTCATTTCCTTCCATTGCTTCTAGAAATTATTATATAACGGCATTAACGAAATATATGTATATCAGCTTAGATTACAACATTTAAATAAACAAAACCCCTATAATAGAAAGCAATGAACTTTATTATCATAATAATTCTGAGCTTTTTCCGTGTTTTTTTGCCAATTGATATTCATAAATCCTGTTATATTATTACCAGAAACATTAATAAAACGATATTGATAATCAATATCGTCAACTTCAAAATATTAACAACCCCAATTGCATGCCACAGTACACGCAGGCACACTTACTCACTCACTCTCACACACACTCACACTCCAATGAAGCAGAGCGCGCATTCTCTACACCCCATACACGCACGCAAATACACACACACACACAGTGTTTTTTGAAGACGTAGCAAGAGAGTGTTCTCTTTATGTTGGTCACGCTCTCTGGCAGCAGGCGGCGGCAAATCTGCAACGTTCATTTTAAACACAATTCAAATACAATTCAGCAGTCGCATTGAACAGACGTTTAGCGCATGAAACGAACGTTTTCCATTAAGAAACCAAAAAACAAAATAAAGGAAGAGACAAAAAGTCGTGTTGAATTGCATATGAAGTGCATTTTTGAATCGCGCGTTCAAGAACGGAAAAGTAAACGATAAAGAACGAATGCGCACACAAATTGAATTCGAAATCGAAACGTCTGGAATAACGAGACAAATTTTGTGATTGGAAATCAGCATAATTTTGTCTGTTTTATTTTTGTTTTTGTGAGCATTTGAGCTGTGTTCATTTTTTTTTTTCGTGCGTGCCAACTAAAGAAGAACAACAACAACGAAATGGCTTTTATGATGCCGGTTATGAAGAACAACTATGATATCTATAAGGATACGCGTGCCCGCTCCCGCAAAACATCCGAATGCTCGAACGTGAGCAGTGGCAACGGCACCTCAGCGTTGGCCAGCGCCCTTGGAACGCCGGGCCAGCCGTCRCAGCAGCAGCAACGTCGCCGCAAGGTGTCCGAATGTAAGTCGGAGAGTTTTGCAACGTCACCGTCGCACGGCCAGTTGGGCGCACATCGCATGCAGATGCAGCGCTGTCACAGTTCACGCGGCTTCACCCGCAACACTTCGCGCAGCTCCCACGGCGGCTCCATGATGCAAATGTCGCAGGTAATGATGTCGCCGACGC